CCTTCCTCTAAAAGGAGAAGTATAGTCTATTTAGGTAAAATAAGACATTGTGAAAATCGTGAACTATCCCTGTGTTGAAACAGATAAGCAGATGTGCAAAACCAAGCAAAAATGAGAATTTTGGATTAGAGTGATGAGTATACTGAAACCACGCCTTTCATCTTGGTATTATTTTAAAGATTTAAGGGTTTTATCGTTAATTTTTGACACTGTACTTGAATTTTTGTATTATTTCAGTAAAAAAAGTATTCTGAACTTTTAAGTTACTGTATGCTAATTGTTCTGTATACTGTCATTCCGTAAATATCAGATATTACTTCTATTATTCTCAATGAAAGCTCCCCAAAGGAAGTATAGACAACTTATACATCCTGACACATCATTACTAACCCTGCTATTTAAATATTGAAAGTCTTGATTATATCACAAAATCATCTTTTCTGAGTAGGAAAGAAAGAAAATCATCATGAACAACAAACTTCATTATCCTTTTACAAAAACAGACTTAGATTTTCCTGGTTGCAGCTTTAAAAACTGAATTAAATTTTTCATCCAAAATCAATTCCTTCCTTATAAAATAATATTATTCCCTTCATTTCTGATAAAAGTTCAGGAGGGCAATATTCAAAAGTGGTGTTTCTGACTTTTTCTATATCAAGAGTAGGAAGTTCTAGGCAATAATTTCACGTCATATTAAACCACTTACAGATTTGACAGTAAGTTGCGTATTGTGTGAATTTTCACAACAGTCTATGCATTTTTCAAATAAATTTTCACATTTCACAAAACTATTTATTGGCTTGGCCAGTTAGTTGAACTGGTTTTAGTATGGTTTTAGCAATCTCTGTCTTCTATTACAAGCTGAAAATCGAAGAGAAAATGATTCTACAGTCAAATACTATAGTCAAATACATCTAATCCCATTGTTGTTATTGTTGTTAGGTGCCCTCGAGTCAATTCCAACTCACAGCAACCCTGTGTACAACAGAGTGAAACACTGCTCAATCCTGCGCCATTCTCATAATTGTTGTTATGCTCAAGCCCATTGTTGCAGCCACTGTGTCAATCCATGTCATTGAGGGTCTTCCTCCTTTTTGATGACCCTGTATTTTACCAAGCATGATGTCGTTCTCCAGGGACTGGTCCCTCCTGACAACATGTCCAAAGTACATCAGACAACGTCTCTCCATCCTCGCTTTTAAGGAGTATTCTGGCTGTACTTCTTCCTAGACAGATTTGTTCATTCTTCTGGCAGTCCATGGCATATTCAATATTCTTCACCGCCATAATTCAGAGGCATCAATTCTTCTTCGGTCTTCCTTATTCATTGTCCAACTTTCACATGCATACGAGGCAATTGAAAACACTATGGCTTGAGTCAGGTACACCTTAGTCCTTAAAGTGACATCTTTGTTTTTTAATGCTTTAAAGAATGTTAAATGCTCTAAAGAGTGCTAAGCACCTTAAAGAGTGTCGTACACAGTACAACAAATTGACAGACGTGTGGTGGAGCCCATTAGTCCCTATTAAAAACTAAATAAATAAATAAAAATACTTTACAAAGTTCCAAAGTTAACTCATTTTGCTCCATCCATCATTGCCATTAAACAATGCAACACCCACCAGCACTCCTAAGAAGGCTGCTGAACATTTCTCTCTCTACTGTTTTGCTCCTAGGGACTTAGTCTCCTGAATGTGTCTACAGTATCCTCTCCTATCTCACACATCCAAACAACTGATTCTACCTTATTTGTACCTCTCTCAGAGTATGTATCCATTTTTGCATTTGTGCTATGATTATTTTTGAACATAGGTTTCTTCTTCACTAGGTGATAAACTCCTTGAGGGCAATATACACGTCCCTGGGGAGAACAAATGGTTTGTTCTTGGCTACTAACTGAAAGCTTGGTGGATCAAATCCACCCAGTGGTGCTGCAAAAGAAATGCCTGGTGATCTGCTTCCGTTAGATTACAGCCAAGAAAACACTACGGGGCATAGTTTTCTCTTCTGAAGCACATGGGGTCACCATGAGTCTGAGTCAATTCCACAGCAACGAGTTTGGTTTTTGGTTTATTCATTTCCCAACACAGTCTTAAGAGTATGGTAGATGTATGTGTTGATAGAATGAATGAATGAATGAGTCAATGAATGAATAAAATTCTAGTACATATTCTATCAAGTAAAGCACATATAATATCATTATATAATTGTAATTAAGATGCGAAGAGAAAAGCAAGTTATAAAAATAATTCTACAATAAATAATAAATGAAATCATCTTTTCAAGGACTTAGGCAACTTCTTTTGTTCTCACTTGGACAACCTACATCCTTCTCATTAGGAGGTTGCTTCCTCACTGGTTTATGATGAAATATGAGTGCAATTTCCTGCCCCGTCAACAGTGTTAGTTTCTCTTTTTGAGGCACAGAGACAGATTTGCTAGCTTTTGAGTCAACAAAACCATCCTCCCAAGAAACATAGGTAAGTATAATATTAAAATATTAATTAAGACTTTAAGTAGATAACATACTGTAGTACGGTTGTCGGTAAGATTTGCAACGTTTTTTTTTTCCTAGTCAGGCTGTATAAACGTGGTAATGCAGAGCGTTACAAGAGGGAGAAATGAGGAAGACACATGGTTTTCTCTACTAGAAAGAGTGGTTAAGGGGTGTCAGAATTTAAACTTAGAACTAGTCAGGTAAAACTCTCCATCCATACACAAAGAAGGGATGCTTATGCTCCATTTCCTCTTCAGGAAACAGTGTACTGGCAAACTGAATTAAGCGTTTAGGAAGACATCTACCAGCTGCTGGCTGGAGAGCTGTCTGGCACCATTTCCCGTAAAATGGTCTAGTGATACTTTTTACAGCCCTCAGAAATAATGTGTAGTTTGGACATAATGTATCCAGTATTAATAAGCACATCATGTTAGGAAGGAACTAGCACAGGGTCTGAAGCCTGGTCTTGAATAACAAACAGCTATTCAACTGATTAATGGAAGCAGGCATTTACTATAATATGTAAGAAAACATTTTATTTTTGGTTGTGCTGTCAGTGATCTGTACTTTAGGAGTATTTTAGGAGTAGGTTGGCATTTGGCAAAAATGAAAAATCAAAATTAAAAAATGTATCCAAGTTTCTCGGCACTAGTTATAAAAATTTTCCCAAAATTTGATTCAAGTAGCCAAAAAATACCTGAAAAAAAGTGTATGAATAATAAGAATGACATATTCCATTAAAATCTCTTATCCATGCAGTGAAATTAGCAACTGTTATCTGCAGACCTTAGCAGAGGTGTCGTGAGAGGGGGTTAGAGGAGGGCATTTGCCCCCAGGCACAAGTCCAAGGGGGCACAAGACAAGGCCAGCCAGCCAATCACAGCTCCCCTTATGCCAGGAGGGGAGGGGTGACAAACTTAGAGATTGCCCCTGGGTGCTCATTACTGTGGACCTTAGAGGAGACCTGATGGTGCAGTGGTTAAAGCGCTCGGCTGCTAACCGAAAGGCGGTTTGAACCCACCAAACGCTTTGCGGGAGAAAGATGTGGCAGTCTACTTCCATAAAGATTACAGTCTTGGAAACCCTATGGGGCAGTTCTGCTCTGTCTTGTAAGGTGGCTATGGGGTCGCTATGAGTTGGAATTGACTCAACGGCAATGGGGATCTGCAGGCCTTGGTGTCATATGTGAAATGCTTTGTACAGATTACATACTAAGTGCCTCCGTTTGGCTTCTCTGCTATACTCTTCCTAGATGGCCCAAAGATGCTTTCCTTAAGGAAATATAGAGAACAGCACCAAGGACACCTGCAGACTATGAGTGTATGTCCTTAAAATAGTATCAGCTAAGGTAGACTGAGAAGCTCTGGCGTCAGTGGTTAAGAGATCGGCTGCCAACCGAACGGTAGGCAGTTTGAATCCACCAGCCACTTCTGGGAAACCCTATGGGGCAGTTCTACTCTGTCCTATAGGGTCTCTATGAGTCTGAATCGACTCGATGGCAATGCGTTAAGGTAGACTGAATACTTACCATGTGCTAAACCCTCTGCTTTATATGTGATCTCATTTAATCCTCACAACACCACTGTGAAGTGAGTACTAACTTATACACGTAAAACTGAAACTTAGGGGCAGTTTCGTGGTGTCACAGATAACCGTAAGGGCTTTTGAAAGACTGCCAAACTGTCTCCAGAACCCACGATCATGATCACAGCTTGTACGGCCTCCGTTGCCCAATAAAAAATAGATCTAGAATCTGCTTCATCATAACCATCCCGTCTTCATGGTTGTTTTAGTCAAGACAGGAAGTGCTTTTAGATAGAGAGATTCAGAACTATGTAAATCCTCCTAAAATCATTTTTTTATCTTATCTACTATTTATAAGAGGAAAGATGTGCACTTATTGAGTAATGTGCACATAGAAGGAAGGGGCACCCACTGCCCATGCCCTTGCTCTCTTGGTCCAGGTCCCCAGGCAGGAGATGCTCATGGTTCAAGTGTTCTCCCTCAGATGCATGAGCCTAGCAATGGGTGTGATGCTATGTACCCCTCAGAGCCCCACCCTCCGTAGCTTATTCAATCCTTCATGCATCTCAGACCTTTATTCTAGTACCATTTCCCTTCTTCAACTATATTCTCTGTCGTTAGGTGCCATCCAGTCATTTCTGACTCTTCTTGTACAATAGCACAAAACACGGCCGGGTCCTGTGCCATCCTCACGATCATTGCTATGCTTGAGCCTGTCATTGCAGCTTCTGTGTCAATCCATGTCATCGAGGGTCTTCCTCTCTTTAACTGACCCTCTATTTACTAAGGACTGGTCCCTCCGGATAACACGTGCAAGGTACATGAGATAAAGTCTTGCCATCCTTGCTTCTAAGGAGCATTCTGGCTGTACTTCCAAGACAGATTTGTTCATTCTTCTGGCAGTCCAGGTATATTCAATATTCTTCACCAACACCGTAATTCAAAGGCATCCATTCTTCCATGGTCTTCCTTATTCATTGTCCAGCTTTTGCATGCATATGAGACAATCGAAAATACCATGGCTCGGGTCAGGGGCACCTTAGGGACTGCACAAGTTCCACTTTAGTAGATAGTGTTAAACCATTCCATACAACAATAAATGAGAGTCCTACGTGCTTGGCATGCTCACTGCCACTTGGTGCTTTCTGTCTTTTTTATTTTATTTATTCTGATGGATGTATAGTGGCATCTCATCGTGGTTTGGTTTGTATTTCTCTGATGACTAAAGAAGTTGAGCGCTTAAGTCCAGTTTTATTTCATTGTTGGCCTGAGGTTTGTAGGACCCAAATAACAGTGTAGACTCAGTCCCTATACCCAAGTGAGGATCAGCCAAAGAACATGAATACTCATAAAAGGATTTTTATTATAGTTCTTTGCAGGAACAAAGCTGAAGCAGAGAACTTGTCGACTTTTCTCTGCTATCTGCCACCATAGGTGGGTTTTGTTATTTTGTTTTATCTGTAAAGCTGCCATCAGGTAAATTATCCAAACCACTAACAGGCCTCACCAACAAGGAAACATAGAAGTGTTTCTCTACTCCAGTGTATAGAGAAAGATGGATTCTCTATTCCATGTGAATCTAGGACATTTTAAAAAATAAACCAACCTCATTAACAATCAGGCATAAAGGTAAAATTGATGATCACAGTATTATACCAAGAATTGTGACCATTCTGCTCTCTTTTTTTTTTTTATAAGAGTATAGAAAAGATTAAGAGAGTTGGCCACAAAGAAAGCAGAAAGAAAAACAGAAGAGGTAGAGCTGTCTAATTATTTAATAATGTTCAGAGAGCTGCTATATTCTAAAATTGTACAGCTTAATAGTATTTATTGTAACAATATTTCCTTAGCTAATAAGCTAATTATGGAAGGGTCTTATACCAATTTACATGTAGGATTTTAAATTGTATACCCATGGAGTTTCTCACACACTCAAAGGTGCTTACTGATTGTATACAAATCATTCAATTTGCTGTCATTTTATTAGCTGCTAAAATGACTTTTGAGCCATAGTTTTGTGTTCTTAGGTTATGCCCAGTGAGATATAGAATTCCCTCAAATCTAGCAGCCATGGATAATTTTTATTTGAAATAGCTTAACTATCTCTGCTTGATTTTATTTACTGAAATCTATTAAATAATATTAATACCCTCTCGTAATCCAGTGCATTTTTAATATCTTCCTTCTTTTTATTTTTCTTCAGTGAATGAAATTTGAAAAAAGAGATTGTTGCAAAATAATGGTAATGAGGTTATGTACCTTTTAAACAGCTAAACTATTTCAGTTCATCGTTCACTACAGAAACAAAGGCATTTTATAAAGAGAGGTCCATCTCTGTGGAGCTAAGACCTTATATGTTCATGTTTGCACCGATCTCTGAAGTTAATGAAGAATAACAAACCGAAGATGACACTCTGTGGAGCCTGAGGGACAACCCCGTGGATTCTTGAGGGTTCTTGGTCAACCAGTGTTCTGTGGTAATGAGCACATGGCCTTCTGCCCATTAAACTCGGCTGGCTACATTAGCTAACTGCTAGGAGCCTGGATACTGACTTCTGAGCATTGATAGCTGTGTGAACATTGATCTACATCAAACCCTTTACAGGCACTTGTGAATTAATCAGAAATTTTGAAAGTAAAGAAAAACTGATAAAAATCTTAGCAAAAGAGCATTTTATGTTGACAACCAGCTACAATGAGGTAAGATTTACTTTTCCACTTACTTTCTAAGAACTGACATAATTGCCACTTTAAAAGAAAAAAAAAATGAACAGCACATGTATTGAAGGACAGCACGACCTGGACCACTATCTGTTTCCAATTGTTTACATCTTTGTCGTTATAATCAGCATTCCGACCAATATTGGATCTCTGTGTGTGTCTTTTCTGCAAGCAAAGAAGGACAATGAACTAGGAATTTACCTTTTCAGTTTATCACTCTCAGATTTGCTGTATTCATTAACTCTCCCTCTCTGGATTAATTATACTTGGAACAATGACAACTGGACTTTCTCAGCTGCTTTGTGCAAAGTGACTGCTTTCTTGATGTACATGAACTTCTACAGCAGCACAGCTTTCCTCACCTGCATCACTCTCGATCGATACTTAGCCGTTGTCTACCCACTGAAGTTTTCTTATCTAAGGACAAGAAGGTTTGCATTCATGGTCAGCCTCTCCATTTGGGTATTGGAAACAATCTTCAACGCAGTCATGCTGTGGGAAGATGAAATCGCTGTTGAGTATTGTGATGCCGAAAAGTCTAATTTTACTTTATGCTACGACAAATACCCTTTGGAGAAATGGCAAATTCGTCTCAACTTGTTTAGGACGTGCACTGGCTACGCGATCCCTTTGGTCATCATCATGTTTTGCAACCAGAAAGTCTGCAGAGCTGTGCGGCACAACCGAGCCACCGAAGACGGCGAGAAGAAGAGAATCATAAAGCTACTGGCTAGTATCACCCTGACGTTTGTCTTGTGCTTCACTCCCTTCCATGTGATGCTGCTGGTTCGCAGCGTTTTAGAGCATGATGCGAGCTTTAACGGTCTATTTGACGGCCAGTCTTGGAAGCAGACTTATAAAATATATAGAATCACGGTCGCGTTAACAAGTTTCAATTGCATCGCTGATCCAATTCTGTACTGTTTTGTAACTGAAACAGGGAGGTCTGATATATGGAATGTATTAAAATTCTGGACTGGCAAACTTAATAAATCAGAAAGACAAAGAAAGAGTGTACTTTCCATGTCTACAAAAGACACGGTGGATTTAGAAGTCTTGGAATAGACCAAAAAGATTTATTTTGGCCTTGGTTCTGAGGCACACAGGACT